TATATCTATCACGATACACCTGTCCTATCCAACATTAACGTATTATCGCGATTACCCCTTACAATGAAGTAGTCGAAATATTTTAATTTTTAGATGATCGTGATTTTAGATCGAGATAGTTAGTCGCCATACATTGACTAATTATACACTGCAAACATATTTACAGATGAAAATGAATATATGAGATGTTTTGTGGTCAGTGATTTGTATTCATGAGTAGATGCTATATCATAAAATAATAACCTAACTCAGTGGTGCAATTGTGCAAAGTTCCATTATTCTTCTCAAACATGACACTATTTGTGCTTCTAAGCTTGATTAATATACGCTACATGTAAGATATGGTAATACCATAATCATGATAATATGCAAATGAATGTTTTGTAATAGCATAACATATATAAATTCACTAAGACCACTAATTCTCCCAGATTTCGTATATATTTAAAAGCTTCATCGTTCTTACGGGCTTACCTACACATATATAATTCACTACAGATAATGCTATATGTGATGATTCATTGTATATTTTATAACGCGCCTCAAATTTAAGTATTGGGGTGCGAGATTTGCACATGGTGATTAAATAACAACTCCTTCAATGACTTTATACGAGGAGCAAGGGATTTATAGACATCGTCAAGTGAGATGGCTAATTTGCGCTGGATCAATACACAGATCACAGAAAGCTTTGAAAGAATTCCCAGGTGGCGAGAGCTCTATTATAGACAACGATTCGGGTTCGTGACCGAAATTGTACGCGACTGTGATGATACACTGCATTACACCACATTACATCAGTCAAGAATTAAGTGTTGTTATAACCACATTTCGGCCAAATAGTCGAGGGGATAGCAATACACTGAAAATCAATTATATATTTAAAATAGTCCTCTGAGTAAATTAAATATTGCGCTGCGTCCACTCACGACAAAAATAGTTCTGGTAACTAAGAAGTAGTGGGAACACTAAGAATAAATAATGATTCAAAACATATTTTAAAAGATCCATTGTATTTGCTCGTACTGGGACTCGCTTTTTTACAACACATATAAATGAATTAATACATTTTGTAAAAAAAAAACGGTTTTGTCGAAATATGTTTGCAATGATAATAAGTTCAATATGTATTAAATCAATATGTGGTTTCTGTTCAGGTGAGTGTTGTGTAATCCGATACAAAACTATAACATAACTTATGTTAAGCAGGAAACTAATTTCGTCATGGCAACTGTAAAACCGTGCGGATATTGATCTTCTGTAAATTGTATTCTACTACACATTGGGGGAAACTATTAACTGTTTTGCGTTATTGAAACGGGACTTGGGGACACGCTTCACCGATTACGAAAATCGCAACTAAAATCAATAGTCCTCGTGTTGAATAGCGAAAACGATATCTGCATTGTATCTGGGCAACAAAAAATAATTACCTCATCATATTTGTAGACACTGTGGCAATGTATAGAAACCAATTCGGCGATGCGTAAGTTTGATCGACTTTCCGTTCCAATAGTTTTTTTGTTTTGATGTAGAGGAGAATAGGAGATTGAATTATTTCGGATCATAGCATCCACAAATATTCTACTATACTGGCATTATATTAGCTGTGTACGTTCTTCAACGTTTTATATTTATATGTCTCAATAATAAGTTATTATACATGAATTTAAGAATAAAAACAACATTCATCCTTTCATAATTCTGGGGAATACTTGATTCCCGAAAAAGGTAAAGATATCATGATACATTATTATGTATATACTTTTTTAGATATATATAAGATTAAAAACAACCATACGTGTTGAGGTAAAATACCTACTTCTATTTAAATTCACTTTCGATATGAAATGTGAACGAACTGTAAAAGGGCGTTAGTCGTCGCGCCGCGTCGTTTTCGATATGCGACTCATAGCGACGTATGCAACGCGTGTAAAATACATTGTTTATTGACATGAAATTCGAACACGCGCTGCGCGACGACCACCGCGCTTTAATATCTGATGAACATGCTAACATATGTATGTATCACTAACTCATAGAGACGTGTTGATTTCTTCTGCGACTTTTAATAACGTGTGATTTTCGTGTACAAAACACAGAAACACCATTTACGTGTAAAAACATGTTGCAGATCATTGCTGGAAATGTGGCATATAATAAACATCGTGACCACCAGTAATTACTCCCGTCATGACACTACTAGTGAGACATAACATCTTGTACCGACTCGATTTACGCTTTAAGGTTTCACTGGACAAAATCGTTGATATGCGATTGTATATGCTTATATACATTTTATGTAAATTCACGGTATACGTTCAGTATACGCAGATATGATAATTTTAAGTGTCAAAGCTACGGGGTTATATTTCATTTGTCCAAGTGAGTAACCATACATACACACATAGATTTTATGACGACGTTTGTCGACGAGATTTTATATGAAGAGTTATTTAACACAATTATTTAGATAGGAAATAACAATTTACCAGTTAAATAGCAACACGGGTTGTGCATTATTAAAGTATGTACACAGTCATTCTTATTTGGAAACCCACATTCTTCAATTTTCGGAAAGCTGGGTAGGGAAATATATATATATATGTATTTACTCTTTCCAATGCAATTATAATTGAAGATATATGTACTTGTCCGAGTATGGTTTCGATTACACTACAGAACAAACAGTTTCTAGGTATGCGTGAAAACGAAACAACCCAATGAAATATATGTTACGAATTTTCTAATTATAAAGGAACAGAGATATCCTGACTAATCGGGAAAAACACACACTGGATTATAAGAATTGTCGCCAGATGCTAACTTGTTATAATTTCCTGAAGCTATTATATTTGTCATTCCTTCCCTAAAAAGACAGTCACTTCGAAGAGTTGTTTCTGACACATATTATCAGGGGAATTATATTTCTCACTGTATGTGAATTGGTTTTGACTATCCGTGGATTCACATTGTCATTATGTGTGGATTGATACATGAATATATTTCAATTCGTTCTGTGACTATTCGTAGATCTGAATTTTGACTATTCGATGATTCGCATTGTTATTATTTGTGGATTTGTACTTGAATATATATTAATTCGTACTATGACTATTCGTAGATCTGTATTGTGACTATTCGATGATTCGCATTGTTATTATTTGTAGATTTGTACTTGAATATATATTAATTCGTACTATGACTATTCGTAGTTCTGTATTTTGACTATTCGATGATTCGCATTGTTATTATTTGTGGATTTGTACTTGAATATATGTTAATTCGTTCTGTGACTATTCGTAGATCTGTATTTTGACTATTCGATGATTCGCATTGTTATTATTTGTGGATTTGTGTTTGAATATATATTAATTCGTACTATGACTATTCGTAGATCTATATTTTGACTATTCGTGGATTCGCATTGTTATTATTTGTGAATTTGTACTTGAATATATATTAATTCGTACTATGACTATTCGTAGATCTGTATTTTGACTATTCGATGATTCGCATTGTTATTATTTGTGGATTTGTACTTGAATATATGTTAATTCGTTCTGTGACTATTCGTAGATCTGTATTTTGACTATTCGATGATTCGCATTGTTATTATTTGTGGATTTGTACTTGAATATATGTTAATTCGTACTGTCACTATTCGTAGATCTGTATTTTGACTATTCGAGGATTCGCATTGTCATTATTCGTGGATTTATACTGGAATATATGTTAATTCGTGTTTTGACTATTCATAGATCTATGTTGTAACTATTCGTACTGCCACTATTCGTGGTTTAGTATTTGAATACACACCATTTTGTACTTGGACTATTTGTGGGGGCGTACTGTCACTAAGAGTCGGAATCACATTATAAATAATACAGACAGGTCGCGATACTCTGGGGCATGTGCGTGTCTTTTTAATACAACATACAACACCCATACACACTGTGTTAAATCATATACCCAAGATACAGAGAACAAATGGGGTTAACCTCAAAGAAAATCAACGTATGTATTGTACGATGTTACCCAAAATAATTCAAATTTATATCTTGAGGAGAAACAACAACGATCATGAAATGCGTTCTACAGTTGCTATAAGCAAATCATGTTTTCTGATGTCAAATTATGCTAATTCTTCAATTTGCTGCCTGTCACTGTTACAAGCACTTTCCTTTTGCTGTAGAAAAATATAACGTACACATACTATGTCTTTAATATGTGTATATAAGAGTGGACAATATTGTTGTAGATACAGGTCATATTGCAATAATTTTGATTTATTATTTTTATCTATTATCATACAATAGCGTTAATACAAACACGTGCTATAATGCTAGACATATTAATCAATTTGTTTTCAGAAATTTGACAAATTGGTAGCCATATGTTCGTCTCAAAAGAATCACTTTATTTTAGCGTGTCATCTAGCCATTTTCTCGAGCATAATGAGTTGCAGTAAATAGTTTTGTGATTTATTATTCGTTTATCCATCATTATTCATTAACCTTTTTCGAATAATATTGTTACAACAAACAAGGCGTAATGATCTACGGATGACATTTGGATCATAAAACCATGTTGTTTTGAATATGTCATTAACTGTATCTTAGACAAGCCTGGGCCTGATCCTATTTTAATTTTATTTGAATAGTAGACATTGCGAGTTAATTTGTGAATTAGTTAGTTATTTGCCCCAAAATTACTTGTGCATTGAAGACAACTATTCACTAATGATCGGATTGTCCGTAAATGATTTCCCCTATAGACTGTTTGGAATAATAATTAACGAGAGGTATCGGGGTAATATGGACATATATTCAGTCCATGACATATAATGTTACTGTGTTTATTTCACTTGAAACAAGGTCACACATAACAAATAATTTATGCTATACAGAACTGTCACATATATTCAAATTTAGATAAATAAATAATAACTGTCTACAAAACGAGGTAATATATTATGTCTTTTAAATTGCAGTACTTACCACGTCCATTAGCTGAACAATGGAAAGACCAAATTTCACACTGAGAATGTCCCGGGGGTCTTTTACTGGCCGCACTAGGGTGTCGTACTCGCTGTTATATAACATATCGCGAACAAGCTGTCTCTCTGCGTTGGACGCATGGGCACCTGTTGAAATAAAAACCAACGCATGCATCAGTATAAAAAGTGGTTTTATTTTAGACAAGCGCAAACTCACGTCAGAATCTGTGCATTACATATACTACCTAATGTGTAGATAGTTAGCGCTAGCGATACACGTTGTGTTTTTATAGACAGTGTTCGGCGAATATTCATAGACTACATGTTTTGCAGCATTAATACTTAAGATTTAGTGTCCTGGTTTATCCGTGGGTACACACGATCGGCTTGATTCGCTTATCAAGGTGTGCACTGGCATTCTTTTCCAAACGAATCCTCTCAAATGTCTCTACGTATAAAAGTTCTTTCCAGTTACTAGAATTACTACTTACTTTCTAGTTATAATTACGAAAATGGTCGCGTATGACAAAGGATAAGTCTCTTAATTATTTGATTATGCGTCGCTGTTCCATTTCTTTGTCACTACTTGATATCAAGCATTGACCACATACCAAAGAACTCATATATGAATTTGAAGCAAATGATCTGCGTTTTTGTAAACCTTCAATAATTGAATACACAATTCTGAAACTGTTGAACATACATGCGTTTAAACTGCATTACATGGACGTGGAAGTAATTAGGATTCTCGCGTTTAAAATAAACTGCATTTCACTCGAGAAAATAGATGAGAAATAACTACGTAAAGTAATTATGAAGGTTTTGCACGTGGCACTTTTTAACTTCCATGGCAGTAAAGTGATACCGCGTGCACAGTTACTGTAAAAATTTACTGTTGATTAAAGGTAGTATTACACTTTTTACATTGATCTAAAGAAGTGATTAAGAGCACTGTGACCCTAGGCAAATAGATTCAAAAAACAGGTACTTTGTAAATGTATATTGGAGGATCATAATACTGCCTGACTCTTCTACATGACAAGTCAAGTCACCTTTTACAAATTACGTCTATTTGTTCTAAAATTAACAACAAATTGTCGAAAATTATTTTGTGGGCGCTAAAACATGTAGCTACATAGTTAAACTCTCGTTCTCGTGATTTGAAAATATTTACATGAATATAGTAGTGGTGTTTAAATTAGTTTATGTAAATGCGTAGTGTATCATGTTGGTGCATTGTTAACTGAACCAAAATTGTCTCAGAAAACAGTCTTAGAATTAATTGTTTCACATACATTATTGGATATATTTATATGTGTGAAAACAGTTTTCAGTGTAGCGACACAGAAATTTATTTATGCAGTTCGGTTTAATGTGAAACTTACTGGCATGACATTTCTGACAAGAAGACACAGCATTGAAAAAATGGCGTCTTGCATTACATAATCTGAAAACAATTATCGACGAATGCAATACAATAACAAGTCATTGTCAATGACACGTCCCTGTTCCGTTCCGTTCATATTTGAGTGACATATACATTCAAAGCAGATCATGACCGAAATCTCAGACCACTGAAACCGAAATGCACCTGCATATGTACAACACATTGTATGATGTGAGTGAAGTGTGGTCTTGATCTGTCCAGGCATGTCCGAGATATGGAGCGAAAACTAAATTCTTTAAAACAAAATGGTCCACCAGTCTGCCATTTTGAACGAGGAAAATTGGTGTGCATCAAGCTTATATTATGGTTAATATATGCACTAAATCTGAACAAAATCCATCCATGCATGACTGAGATCCGGTTCTGGAATTGTGAAAATACGTGGTTTTGATGCATTTTCTGCCTTAAAATGGCCATCATTCAGCTATTGTTAAGCGGATCATGAAACAAATGCACATATCTATTTGTGACATGATGTACCATGTGTGTGTGAAGTTTGAACTTGATCAATCCAGACATGTCTCGGATACGGATCCAGAACTGAATTCTTTAAAACAAAATGGCCGCCAGTCGGCCATTTCTAACTTGATCCGAAAAAAATGACGTGCATCAAGGTCCTATTAGGTTTAATGTATGTACCAAATTTGAACAAAATAACTGAGATTCGGGTCCGGAATGGTGAAAATGTGCGATTTCAATGCATTTTCGGCCTTAAAGCGGCCGCCATTTTGCTATCGTTAATGAGATCATGGAACAAATGCACATACATATTTGTGACATGATTTACCTTGTGTGTGTGAAGTTTGACCTCGATCAATCCAGGCATGTCTCAGATACAGATCCAGAACTGAATTCTTTAAAACAAAATGGCCGCCATTTCAAACCCGATCCCCCCAAAAAATGACGTGCATCAAGGTCCTATTATGTTTAATGTATGTACCAAATTTGAATGGTGAAAATGTGCGATTTTGATGCATTTTCGGCCTTAAAATGGCCGCTATTCGGCTATCATTAATCAGATCATGAAAAAAATGCATGTGCATATGTCCCATATAATGTGTGATGTATGAGTGAAGTTTGAACGTAATCGGTCCATGCATGTTCGAGATACAGGTGATCACGGACGCACGGACGCACACAGGGCAAACCATAAGTCCCCGTTTTCGGACTACGTTCGAACGGGGACTAATTAATCACTGAAATAAGTGACATCTTATTTATACCACTTTTACTGTGCTCGCTGCCTATTCAATATAGCGAAGTAGTGTTAGTAATATAAGCATACTCGGTGAGTGTCTAAATATGGCGTCGTTACAATATCATTGGGAGGACTCTGTGACACGAATGTTTCCCATCGAGTTACTTACTCAATAACCATGCTTAAAAAATAATCAAACAATTTTATGAAAAACGCGTGATATTACAACTTCGAGGTAGTCAATACACTATTCGACGTTGTCAATACGTTAGAGCGTACTTAAATAGTGACATGTTTCATAGTCATCAGACCTCTCTATCATGCTGAATGATTGCAGCTTTTCATATCTTCACTACTATTTATTAAAAAGACATCTATTTGTTCGCACATATCACCTCGCGTTTGTCGCCTTGTTACCAGAGACCAAACTCATTTCCTACCTTCCACACGAGTCATTGTTATAGATCTTATCAAGTATACAGATACGAATCAACACAACTGCGCATCAACCTTGGCGGTGACCTCTATATGTTATGAATCCACCTTGATAAATGCAACTCGAAACCAAGTCATATTTAGTATTTATCCGCAAGCCTGCAGTACACCCATATTATAAAGGTCAATGTCGTTGGCGATAATTTACTGACAATACCAATATATATATATATTGTCATGGTAACAGTTTCTTTCTTTATCTCATCTTCTTTCACAGTGCATTGGAGAACTAATTACATTTTGGGGATGATACAGTTGTCTTTAAGCTTATACGTACTTTGGAACAGCGATTTAGGCTTGTGTACGTAATTATAGTGAATCTACCAGGTTCGCCTTGTAATCAAATGCGGTAACAGATGCCGTAAACATGTCGGTAACATTTCAATTTGACGTGTATTCCCTCTCTTTAATCCTATTATTTGTTGCCTTGGTGACAAACAGTTATGTAACATTTATTGCAAAAATTACTTTTTGATCACGCTGTTATGACCACGCGTAATTGTTTTAATTCAAATATTTAAAATTTACCAATCATGTATAAATTAGTTTTCAAATTATTTGTATATTTAAAGTATGTTGAATACTGAATGAATTCTGGGATAATATGTACGATGACTAAAATTGAGAAATATTATTGCTCAATTGTAATGTATAGATCAAATGCTAACACTCAGCTGATTGTATGTGTGTGCGTTCTCCGAATACAATTCAACCTTTATATTATTTGATGCTTTCCGATTATAACAATCATATATACAAACATTGTCGTCACATCGGCGATCATACGGATAATCTCCACGAATTTTGATGACAAACACATACGTGGATACGTACAATTTTTACTTGTACATCTTTGTATATCTCTTCGCCCTAAATTCTTAAGATTATTACTATCACAATCTGTTCTCACTTAAACAATGACATCAATATGATCGATCAATAACCAGTTGGTTAATTTGATATTTGGTAATCAGAAAATGGTACATTAAATAATGTGAAATAGTGCATACTACATTTTTTATATTTATATTGGAAAAAAAATGTATTAAAGTATTAAACCTTGATTTCGGAACTCAGTACCAAAATGTTGAACACTTGCGCTTCTGTGCGATATAGTCAAACAATTAACAATCTTGAAGACAAAAACCGTTAACATCACAAGGACACATTTGCACCAAAGTACAACTTTCAGTGTCAAAATAATTCAAAAAAGAAAATTATATGGACGTTGGGCAACGATGTGTTTTCGAAAACTATTTAGGGTTAATTATTTGTGAATCAGGATTTTGGTCCATGGTAACATTTTGTCATATATCTAAATGAGTGTTGTACTCAACAATACACAGTTATTGGTGTAATTCCCACCAAGTTAACCAATGTTACTGAATAATTTATATAGAACTTTCGGCGTGGTTTTCATTATAAAAGAAATACCATCGTCGCCACGTATAAGTGTGTACTTTATCGTGAAAATACCACATATAGCACACGATCCTCGTATAACGTGGTTATTAGTTGATGGCATGCATGAATATACAGCTTGTGTAATTATATTAGTAACACGTAAGGGGGATATTAGCACAGCCAACCTTTCTGGACGTTTCTTTGATCATTGCAGTAGATAGAAACAGCTGCAGTGCAAAGTGTCTGTTTTCTTGAGCGAGCAACATTCGTGCTTGTTTTACGAAATTGTTTAAATTAAGCTAAAGATGAAAGAGATTGTTAATTTCCTATTTTACCATTGGTTGCGGCGTTTTCCCTCAACACGCAACATACAATTTCCTTACTGTACGTTTATACAGGCGGTTAACATTGTTTCGAGAAACGCGACATGGTACTGTTGCAGAACGGTATTTATTGGGTTCACATGTGTCATTCACCAGTACGTCAGTATGGGAATTAAATCCATTTATTGTGAGGTGAGAAAAAATAGGCAATAGGAATATCATATGAGTCAAATGTCATTCAATTTGCATTGTCAGATTGCACGTTCTCAGCTTAGTTATTAAACATCCTTTACAGGGAGGGAGTGTTCGGTGATCGAGTATAAGCCATGACTGGGACGTGCAGCTATACGATTTCACTGTCGCCAATTCATATCACACTGAGTGATTTTTCCTGAAGAATTATTTCCCGTGAATGTATGTATATGTATGCGCAAGTATGCAATCTATTATGTTAATACATGCAATGAAAATGTAATAATATAAGTTTTCGCTTTTCCTTATATTGCCGAGTTTTTATTCACGAGACTTTCTCTGTGACCCTGAACGCAGATGTACACCAATACATGCTGTTAGTACGTGTGCGACGTACTTACTTAATCATTAATAACATTTTAACGTTCAATGCTATATGTTATATTGAATGGCTTCTAAGTCAGCACTCAAAATACAAAATGTACATATAAGTAAATACTCTATAAAGTACTGGGGTCATTTACCATAACCCCAACCAGCATCAGCTCATGACCTCTTTGTGAGGAAAGGCCATCGATGTCTCTGATTTGAATGACTCAGGAGTTGCTCGCAGTCTTCAAGAGCTCTGTCACACTATAGTATGTATAACATCACATATCTTATGTATTTATGAACAAATAAACACAAAATAATGTATGCGAGTGTTCATGTATTTGTACACTGATTGTGATTATACTTATTTGGTATGAGTCAGTTACTGTACTGTGCCGACTGTACGAACTGAATGCTTATTTTTAACGTTTATAGACAAGAAAATAACGTGAACGAGTCATGTCATTATTGTGGCCTTCTACGTGTATTATCGAAATGCGCTGTTAAGTTTGATTATAATGCATTACAGTACTAATAATTAAATTCTTGTCACACAGACAGGTCAGTTAGTCGTGGAAACCATATTATTATTACTGTATATGTATTCATTTCAGTATTGTACGGAACAATGTTTTGTCATATTAGCGTATCTCAGGAGTGTGTACAGGCATATACAAATAAATGATTTTATAGACGAGTGATGTGCGCACATTCGAAGCTAGCTGCCACTCTGTGTGTCAATATATTTTATAGCATCATTACTCAGACTGTCTTTGCAGTAACACTCTTTTTATAATCCCCGCGCGGGTCACATTGACGTAAGTAGTGGTATTTCTTGTTTAATCCTCGGGGTATTGAATGTTTCACAATGTAATACAGCCGAGGACATAATAGTGTGTTAGTTGCACGTACGCTGCGAGACTGGAGAGCGTATATGTTATTTACCACTATGTCTCATTTCGGTGTCATTTTTTTAATTGCACTCGCTTCGTACAGAGTGATGTACAAGGCGTCAATCACAGATGATGCAGATACAAACAAAATGAGGCATCTGTGACGCGCGTGAATAACACTGACGGCAAACGTTCAACACGTACGAGGAATGGTCACGATATTCCGTGCTTCGTTGTATGAGATTATACTTATCACAGGAAAACTGAAATCTGACAATTTAGTTCACACACACACGCTGCTCAGATTCGATCTAGATACAGTTGTTGTCAAATATATTTGAAAGATTGTCCCCTATCTATGTCGATAATTACAGAATAAGAACACCACTGAGTCCCGGAATGACCCCAAAGCAGAAAAGATTAAACTATCTGCAAAACCATTTATCTATATCAGCATGGTGCTGTCTGTTTTGTTTTTTATCGATGTGAAAGGTCGCACGACTGCCAAACATTTATGCCGATAAATTATTCTTACATCACAGACTATGTGACTTAGAATATAAAGGTTATCATATGAATGATCAGATGACATACCTTGGAAAACAGGAAAATAGCTTTTGCCTGAAACAAAATTCCAGCTTACTCTTTGCAACGTGGGAGATAATCCCTTGTACACTTAATCCCATTAATACATCTAACTGGCGAGTTTTGCATTAGCTACAAACAGTTTCAATAGTTATCTTTTTATTATGTTTTTTTTTGAATGTTTGAATGGAATATCCACAGTTTTCTAATGTCTAAGAGCAGGTTTATTAATCAAGAGTTATATTTTTTTTAATTTCCACACGAGTTTTATCCTTCTAATTAGTTTCATCCAGGTGTTTGTCGCTGCTGTTGGACGTGATCTTTCTTATCTCCGAGGATATACCGACATACAGGCAATAAATACTCGGTTGCTATGCATGCGATTAAATGTGACGTGGCTTGGACTCTGTTTGCCTCTTCACTGTAAGTGCGTACCTTGTACGTCATTTTGTTTCGTATGTCGTAGGGTAGTTAATATTGTGGCTTAGTGTGGTATGTGTCTGCTTGAAGTGGCAAGAAGCATTGCCGTGGTCATGAGTTTGTCTTGCGTGTTTATATGTTTGTAATATGATTGGCTAATTTGCATAATTGTTAACCGCTCACGAATACCTCAGTTTACACACAGTGAATTAGGTAATGTGTAATGTGATACATCAATATATTTTTGCGGTGTCAAGAATTCATTGGTGAAATGATAAATGATGATTAAATTTAATCAATGGTTTTTAAATGATTCCTTGACTAATCATAATAATAATATGTTGATTTCATAGCATAAAGAAATCAACAATCATTGCACTGGTTTATTACAATAACAGCCATAGTTAATAACTGACTGCATGTATGTATGTAGAGGGATGTGTGTTTCAAATGCTGTTTATTTCTTTAGCCTAATCTATCAAATTTGGATGTTTATATAAATAGTGGATGTTATCAAAATGAATATTCCGTGTCTCAGAATGCAGAAGTTAGGAAATTGTTGTATTGTGACCATTCATGTGCATAGAAACAATATCAAAATGCCATCATGCCCAGTATGCAACCAATGTCTACTACAAGTTCAATGCTATTCATGTAGATTAACTGCAGATTAACGAGAAACGTTGAATGTCAAGCAAATCATATGAGTTAATTCGAGTTTAATTTGGAAAACGAAAATGTGGTAAAGAGAATTTCTCCCTCTGGGTATGTT